TGCCATCATTTTTCGCTGAAAATATAAATATTCAGCATAATAAATAAAATATAAGCAAACAACAACTAACCAAGGATATACAAAATTTTATAGTGGTTCTGATAACAATCATACGCCCACTCCATCTTCTCACGAAGCGGCTTCCTTAATATGCAAAGAGTTTTTCCGAATCACAACCTGATTCAATAGGCTTAAAAGGACCATTCCTAAACTTCCCCCGAAACCAGTCGTATAACCTAACTCTCCACAATGAGTAACACACAGCCATATCTAGTCACTACCTCAATTAATACCAGCTTGAGTACACAGTAAAAATAAGATTGAAACAAACCAATAAGCATAGTTTAAGCATAGAAAATAATAAAGATCTTACCGCACCTTTCAATTAACAAACCGTCCTTTAATGGATCAAAGTGAAGCTTGATGAAAAAATGTATAGATGATGAAAGAAAGGGTAACCCCCCTCGTTGAGGCGATCCAAAGATGTTGAGAGCGACGAGAAGGAGGTTGTTGAGGCTCCATTTTTTGCTAAAAAAGGGGGAGGTTTTCTATCATTTTTCACTAAAAATATAAAATATGCAGCAGAATAGAAAATAAAAGCAACCAACTGTTGGACCCTAGAGGGGGGGGGGGGGGGTGATTAGAGTCTTAAGACAATAATAGTACAATAAAAATTAAAGGCAAGCAATGACCACAAATTTAAAATGCTAAATAAAAGAAAGGTTGAGATAGAAATCGTTATCCAAATGATGCGCGATGTGTTCACGAGGTTCGGCTCTCTAGCCTACGTCCCCACTCCCCACTCTCGAGGAGAATCCACTACACAACCCGGTTTGAAAGTCAGAACTTCTTCTACACAACGATCTCCACGAGATCTCACACCAACACAGTTAATCTCCACAAGATCACAATGCTATCAGCAGTAACAAAAGAAGAGCTCTCTCTATACAGCAGTCCTATGACAAGGAGAGAGATTGCACTTGAAGCTTTGGGTGTGGGATGTGTAGGTGCAAAAACAGGGAATTGAAGATTTGAAAGTTGAAGCTTTTAAACACAAGAATTAACCACAATAAATTTTCTCTTGCAAAGTTAGTTCTGAAATAAATGGGGTAGTTGGATATATATAGGGAGTTGAAAGAAGAAGCCAAAAACCCTTGTAAAAAGACCAAAAAACTAAATCCCACAAAATCAGGAGAAACTAACATACTAGCCGTTATTGAGCGGCGGTCGACAGCAGAGCCACTGGCGATCGACCGCGAGTCAGAACTAGCTGTTAGAAATCGATCGCCGAGCCACATCCGATCGACCGTGAGAATTTCTGAAAAACTCTCAATGTCTCTGGAAAAATGACGGTCGACCGTAGAGCCAAGGGCGGTCGACCGCGAGCTGATGAAAAACAGAGCTGAGTCTCTAGAAATTTGGCGGTCGATTGCGGAGCCATGTTCGGTCGACCGCGAGAAGTTTCCAGGCACATGAATTGCCTGACCTGTTCACAGTCGACCGCCGAACCATGTCCGGTCGATCGTGGACTGATACAAGACATACACAGAGTTTAAAAACAGGTTTTTGACTTTGGAAAAATTATGAAAAAAAATCTAAAATGATTTCTGAAAGTTGTATAACTTTGTAAAATATTTTTAATATTAAAAAAACTATTTTGAAAAGGAATTTTGCACATAGGTCCTCATACATGTGAAAGATTATGTTTTGTTAAAAAACATCAAAGTATGAGTATGAAAAGTGTATGTGTAATATCCCAATAGCTTCAAATGAAATCTACAACTACTTGCCTACATTCTAGCACTAGAGAGAAAAGAAAAATAGCAAATATCCTCACATAGAATTATATTTCTTTGAGTCTCGATATTGCTTTGAGTTGATGAAGCTTCCACTTGTATATGTTGTTCTTGATTAACATTTGTTTCATCACATTGCCTCCACCTCCTATAGATATTGACGTTGTAGCTCATATTCCATCCAATCCTCCATTTATGGTACTAACAAGCTTGATATTCATATTAACTACAATATCACTCAACAAGCAATTTGTACCGATAATGGTGGTTGTAAATCATCATCAAAACAAAAGGGCTAACACCAACAACCAACCAAGGATATACAATATTTTATAGTGGTTTGGATAACAATCATACGTCCACCCCATCTTCTCACAGAGCGGCTTCCTCACTATACCAAGAGTTTTTCTGAATCACAACCCGATTCAATAGGCTTACAAAGATCATAGCCTAAAATTTACCTAAAACCAGTCGTCTAACCTAACTCTTCACAATGTGTAACACCAAACCTTACCTAGTCCCTAATCTCAATTAACACCAGTTTGAATACGCAGTAAAAATAAGTTTGAAATAAATAGATATGTGCAGTTTAAGTTTAGAAAATAATAAAAATCATACAACACTTTTCGATTAACAAGCCATCCTTCAATGGATCAAAGTGAAGCTTGATGAAAAAATATGTAGGTGATGAAATCAAGGGCAACTCTCCTCGTTGAGATGATCCAAAGATGTTAAGAGTGGCAGAAGGAGTTTGTTGAGGCTCCAGGGTCAAAACCTTCAATCCAATATATTCTCAAATCAAAACATTAAAGCTCTTATCAAAATCTTAGAAGTCTTTCCTCTATTTATATCTTTCAATCATGTATAACCTTTAACCAACCAAGAAAGAGATATCCTAAATGTGGTAGAAGTTGAAGATTAAACGTAGCAATGAACTATTGTGGTTAGATCCTCAAATCTACAATCAGCGGACTTTGCCATTGATGGTTGCTCACGACCATCGATGGGTCCCTGAGCACCATCAATGAGTTCCTATAGACCATTGATGACTTCATACCCATTAATGGGTCCTTGATGACCATTGATAGTACGAAGGCTAAAATTAGTATTTACCTCAATTTTTGTGTCGTTTCACCTAGTACACGTCTTATACCAGTATTTACATGTACTATATCATCTCTCAAACAAATATTAGTACCTAATAAGAGTTTGTTATTATTCAAATAAGAGCTATTGGACAGACTATGTCCTAACAATTTTCCATATTTGAGCCACCATATTAGTCCCACAAATCTTTCATACTTTGAAATTATTCCTTCAAATCATAGAAATTGCTACTACATCCCCCAAGTGTTGATTTATTTTGGAAATTAATCCCTTCACTCAAGAACAAAAACAACTATTGAAGGGATTAATTTGAAAAAAATATGAGGAATAATATATTTTACTCAATAATCCAACCCTGCCATTGCTACTTCAAGTCTTGATTGGAGGGATTAATTTCAAATAAGTTAAGAATTAAAGGACCCATAGCAATTTCTATGATCTGAGAGTCTAGATCCAAAATGACCTAAGAATTAAGGGACCTAACAGC